GAAGTTCCTAGGCACGGACTGAAAAGCCAGACAGATTCTGACTCAATCTTAGCAGGCCTTTGCTTGATCTGTAAAACAGGCGGCTTTGCGTGCCGTGCCAGGATAATGTGTTGTTTGCCAATGAAATCACTCGGAGAGAACCTCATTGCCTTCCTCAAGCCTCAAGGGATCATGCAATCAAAGGGATGTATGACCACGAAGAAAGTCTGATTTTGGATCGTTTAGCTGCTTCACACATATCAACTGTATGGGCCACTTGGTTTGAAATCAAGGTAATTTTCTGGACATTCATGTACAATGCACCTTAACCTGGCACGCACACGTCTAAATTTTGTTTTAAAGTTTTGACGAAGAGTGCAGGTGGTTGGAGGGCGCCACAGATAGGTCGTACTTTTTTATTTCCCTCCCGTTGTTTCTGTAACTGTAAGACTGTTCTACGTTTTCCCAGCACTAAATGACCATTATTGTATCGGTGCGCTTCTCTTTACTCATACAAAACAAACAAGTTGACTTCGTGTGACACCATATGTCATGTCTGGGATTGAGAGGTGTGTGTGTGTGTGTGTGTGTGTGTGTGTGTGTGTGTGTGTGTGTGTGTGATTGATGTTGTAAAAGGACGCCCTGGTGTGTTTGGCCCTAATGATATTCATCTCAATCTAACACCAAATGTCAGTTATCTTGCCTTAAGGAAAATGTAAGTCGTGTGCTCATGATGCTCGTAGCGCATTATGCAAGTTCAGAGTTGCAGTATATGCCAAGGGACACAGATAAATACAAACAAATACGAGATTGATAAGTTTTTTGGGTTTTTTTCTAGCGATTTAGACAAAGGAACCTTTATATTTCCCAAATGGTTATTGACATGGAGTTGCAGTCTGATTTTTCTTTCAATAAATATATCTAGTTGTATGCATTCCCCTATTGAAACATTCACCTGTATGTGCTGTTGTCGTCGCTCCACACACCTGAATATAATTTCTATATTTGTACAGCGGCAATCAACATTGTAACAACCGCTCTTTTTCCGTATCGCAAGGTATTCCCAAAAGAATGCAATCTACAGTCCAGTCGGGTACTAAATCTACAATCCGTTCCCACGTTTCCTTAATCCATTGTTCTGACACAATGCAGTTGTCACGCTATGCACCCCCCCCTAACAATGAGACCAAACTAAAACCAGTAATTTTGCTATCTGTTTTATCAAAAGATTAAACTTGACTTTTCATTTCCCCTCTGGATAAAATGTTATCAACGGCGGAGCTAGACGTTACTATTCAAGAACTTCACGTAGATCTATCGCGAAGCCATCAGATAAGGCGACATTTGATAATACCATTCACTTATGTTTCCAATTTATTGACATTCAGTATGACCAGTTTAACAAGAATGTGATAAGCTGTGTTCATTTTGAAGATTGGTGTTGCCTATCTAACCAGCATAAAAAAGAGCTGTAAGAGAAAAAAAATGTCAGCTGTGACACCCCCCCCCCCTTTCGGTTTTTCAACCACCAGCACAAAACTACCACAAAGGTGCACATAGGAATGTTTCTCATTTAAAAATTTAGACTTATTTTGGAGTTAGATGCCACTGTTATGATATGGCCAGGAGGCCAAAGCATCTTTCTGATGTGAGTGTAATACTGTTGTTGTTGTTGTTGTTGTTGTTGTTGTTGTTGTTGTTGTTGTTGTTGTTGTTGTTGTTATCCCTCCAGCAACAGATGGGCTCTTGCCCTTCTGTCGAATGGCATGCAGTGATAAATTATGCAGGTTTGCAGTTTACAAGCGCTTAAATACAAAGATACTGGCAAGATCTTAATGTCCATGCACTATTCGCTCGGTTGGAACCACACTGGATTGAAATATGGATGGTCCTGGCTTAAATCCAGAACGCGATAATTTTCTTTTTAACTTGGGTTGTTGGAAAGATACATATCTCACATCACCCTCCTGGCTCGAAGAGGAAAGTTCAATTTAGTTGTGTACGCTTGTATGCGTATGTGTCAACGTAGGTATTTGTGTGTGTGTGTGTGTGTGTATGTGTGTGTGTTTGTGTGTTTGTGTGTGTGAGTGTGTGTGTGTTGGTGGATGGGGCGCCTCCCATTTGAACAAACTCAGATATGTCACTATCAACCCCCATGACAAAAGTATGAATTATAATATGGTTATTATTTAACCCTTTTTTCTACACATTACGGTGCAGAAAAAGGCAGGTCCTCCGATTTAACCTACATCTGTGATAGGACCAAGTTAAATGGGAGGAGAGCCTTTAAACTCCCGAAACAATCTACATTCAAGAAAGCCCCATTCGATATTTGAACCAAAGCTATCTGCATCATAGTCCAACATGAAACCAACTGCACAAACAGGGCCACGGATAAAACTTTATAATTAGTGTTAGTGAATCCAAACTCCTCCTGACGAAAAAAGAACATCTGTTGCTTGGAACAGAACACCCAAATTGTAGCCTTGCGTTTTTCCCGAAAAGCTAAACGTGTGAATTGGTTGAAAAAGGAGTGAAATATGCTTTTGCTCCAAATGTTTCTTTCGATTTCTAGCTTCAAATTAGACAGCATTACTGTTATTGATTTTCCTGTGTTTTCTTACTATTACAAGCGCATTCCTATAAAGACAAAAGTATCCATTCAGCAATGAAGTAAGCTTATGTTAGCAACTTAGGCAGGTTACAACAACAAGCGTCACTTTGGCAGTTCTTCTGGAAAAAAACAGTCTTGAAATCGTTGTGCTTGATGATAAAGGGGGCTCCAGTGGCTAAGTGAGTAGTGAGTTTTGACTCAAGCAATGCCAAGCAAGTGTCGGTGACAAGGGGATCAGATAGGTGGTCA